TAAGTCCAATACTGAAGACACTGTAAGAAATAGAAAGAGGTAATGAGATAGTTTTTGCCTCTTATGTTGAAAATGGACAGGCCAAATTCATAGCCACAAAACAATTTAGGAATGGTTAACTGTTTAAATGAGTGGCAGGAAATAAACGTGGTAGGAACTGCGAGATGCGACACGAGGCAGCACTGAAAGGTTTGCCATCATTCCCTACATGTGTCTAACTGCGAGTGTGGACCGAACTCTGTGATGATTAACAAGTAAATAGCATGTAGCCCTGCCTTCCATGAGTGTATGAGTTCAGGCTTACACATTCACTGGAATAGGGCTTATAGAGAGCACCAGTTGAGAACTTTTAAAGAGTTGCCACTATGAACTGTTTGGTACTCAGGAAAGTGATTCTGGGGAATGATTTCCTCAAAGTCTGGGAGCCCGGGGTGGGGGACGCAATACAAAGCTTAATCTTCCTCCAGATTCTGATTTTGCTTTATTGTCAATTTGTTGAGGAGAATGGCAGTTCTTTATATTGTCAGTAATATCTAAATGATCAGGTCTACTTGTCAAATCTCTTAATGCTGCTATTGGAAAACTATGCTCTTGATGTAATTGACATGATTTTTCTTCGTAAAAAAATTTGCTGTAAATCTGAAAAATTGGGATTGTGGTACCATGACAAAGAGTCCTTCATTGAAAACTCTTTTAAATCATTTGAGACCAGAATCAAAGAACAGGTCTGGTAGAATTCACTTCCAAGTCCCAGCAAGATTAGGCAAGAAGAACTGCTTGGGGCCACCCTGGAAGGAGGCTGTGGCCTTAGCCAGCAGTTTGTTTTGTGTGTGTGTGTGTGTGTTTTTTTTTTTTTTTTAATCAGATAAGCATGGTTCAGTGTTTGCAGAAGTGGAAGTAAAGGCATCATTAAAATTGCTTATGGATGAACAATGAAATTAGTTTAACTTAGAAAACTGTGCAAAAGCTATTACTTGATTATTCACGTTATCTAAAGCATGACTCCCTACAAAACAATCTCAGACTGTTTCCCCATACATTCTTTTCAAGCCCTAGGTGGGGTTGTTAGCAGAAGTTCTACAGCCATGGGATGTTAACTCTGGAAAGTGCTGACGTTCATTTTTCTCTTTCCTTAATGGAATTGTAAGTTTCATATCAGCATATTTCATTAAGACACCAAACAGAGTCAAAGGATGTGCTATATTTCCAGGCCTATTATAGCTGCCATTCCAAACAAAATATGTATGAATTCTACGATTCACTAAGCACAAGTATGTAGTAATATGCCCTTTAATGGCCTCTCAGAATGACAGACCAAATGGCTTTGTGAAGGTCAAGCCTGATTTAAATTGTTGATGAATTAGTAGCTAATTCTGCATGTTTGAATATTAATATGGAACAGTGATAACTAAGACACTTTAAAGCTTAATGAGCACATTAATGAATAGGACAAAGTGTTTTTCTTCTCACCTCATGTACAAGTTTAAAGCTACTAACATATTGACAAATGTTAATTTTTGATAGCTGCTTTTTCCTATAAATGTTTATATGGTTACGTTATAAAGAGTATTGATCCCCCCCCACACACAAGTTCCTGGTACCAAATATTTGATGAGCTGTCAAAACTGATGTTATCAAATGGCCTAGGCAGTTTTATATAAATCACTAATAAATGTAGAGGGTGAAAAAAAAAGCAATTAACATCTTCTAAACTACACCCACTGAGATAAGCATTCCAATTAGAAATTTCATTATTTCCACAGTTTGTTTTATGTTGAATAATGAGTTTTATTGCCAAATACCTGACAGTCAAATTGGAAACAAGCCACAACTGTCAATGTGTAACTGCTCTGGCTATTTGAATCTGTTACAAGTGTGATGTTTCTCATGAAAATTTAATGAAGAAAGTGCATTCGAAGAGGTTCTGTGCAAAAGGGGGATGGATAGAATTTAATTACCCTTATTAAAAATAAGAAAGCAGTACTCTTTACATTCTGTCTGATTAGTATGCAAGGACGAGTACCTTTGTTGTGCACTTGTGTATATGAAAAGGGGCTCTGGAGTGTTCTTTATGAGCCAAGAAGGGAAAGAAAGGGCATGCAATTGTATTTGCCTGCTTTCCATAGGGCACAAGTCAATTTTGTCAGCTCTCCCCAAGGTGAGGACTTTATTTCTTATATATGGATATTAATTCTAGATTTATTTTTGGTAAGAGTCTTTAGTAAGTGACTCAACTTACTCACATCTGATGGGCATGGACTGTTGTCTTGGTTCTTTAGAGAGATGGACCGGTAGAGGAACAGGAAGGACTGGTAGAGCCATGTTAATGCATGCTATTGGAACTGGTAATTAACCACCAAGGGGAGATAAGAGGCCCTGAGAAATACAGAGATAGCTCCAGGAGCCCAACCCGATTTCTTATTTACTTAAGTTGGTTGTTTTAAATGTGGAAAATAACAAAATCTAAGAGCTTTCATAGAAACTCATTTGTAGGTGACTGAGGCAGTTGAGTTGACTTTGGAACCCTTGAGGTAAATTAATTTTATCCTTTGAATTATTATGTGTCAATAGCTGCCAACTAAGACATTTAATAGAATAATGTATGTGGTACAACAGCTATTGATCATTCTCCTTTTTTTTTTAAATTTTTCCCCGAATAACAGAAGAACTGTGCTATAAATGTAAACACATTGACAAAACCTCTAAAACCATGAAGAATAGTTTAGTGGAATAGATTATTAAAATTAGCATAGCCTAATTTGCAAAATATTCTTTATTTAATGTGTAAGTTTTAACATTCCCTTGGAGACCTGAAAAATCATCTCAAAATCCCATTCTTAACCACTGTTTCTGACGCTTATCCACTGTGACCTGGGCTTGACTGCCAGTGTGTACACATTCAGATCAACAGAATGCATTCCTGCTTCCTTAAAAGGGCCCTGTCTTTTACTTTAAGTAAAGTGTAGCTCTTTGAAGTTCACTAATTTTATAATTTTTTTTTAGTCTTCAGCCCTATCTAGCTGGTAAGATGGTAAAATATTCTTTAGGGAATTCAGCTGTCAACTCAAATGGACTCAGCTACTTCTTTTGGTCTATGATAGATCTCCGTTTGTGAGAGCCAGAGTCTATACATTTTCCTATTATACCCTCCGTTTTCTCCTACAATAACTTGGACTGGGTGTTCAGGGCACCTTCTCTTTCTTGGGAGCTTTATTTTTGGTAGTGTTTTGACATTCTTTTGCTATTCACATTTAAAAAATCTCTACTTTTTAACTATTCCTCTGATCAACTCTCTCCCAGAAGTACTTTCCTACTATATTTAGTAGAACAACTTCTTCTAATTGCTGCGATGTAGTCAGACTTGGAAAGACTGGAGGTTCTCCTAGAATCTAGCAATCCAGCCTAGCTTGATCGATACAAATGAGATGCAGAATAACTCATTGTATGGAAGGATAAACTGATGCTAATTAAAAAAATACAAGACAGAAATAGGTATCACTGCTATGGTAGCTCTGAGGAAGAAATGATTAAATACGGTTGGGAGAGTCTCAAAAGGCTATACAAAGAAGGCAGTTCTGGCTGTGCAGCTCTCTGGAGGCAGAATACTCAACACAGGATTTGTCTGGAAAGTGGTGAAAACTTCAGTGGAGGCATAAAGTTTCCTGTGAGGGAGGTCATCGTGAGAGGCTGGGGGAAATGGGGCCTGCTGTAAAAGAACTTTGCTATTCAGATTTAGGAGATTGAGTTTACCTCAAAGATGCAGAGGAAAGATGGTGGAGAACACACAGATTTGACTGAACTTGGTGGAGGTATCACACTTAGAGTTCAGCAAGACTCATAGCATCATACCAGGAGTTGTAGAAGGCATCCAAGGAGGAGCCATGTGCCACATGTGATGATTTCTAATGTTCTGCTCAGTGGTGGTTGTGCTTTTGAGTCATTTTTGGAATTCGTGACTCATGAAAATTCATCACTGTGTTGATTTGTTGATTAAATTAACACCAGGCCCAATGAAAAGTTAAAATATTTCAAAATGGTCTTCAAACAGATAGTCAAGTTGTAATTTAGATAATGATCGCCCATATAACTCAGCTCCCTTCAATATTTGAATAGAATATACCTGTCTAATGCTGTCTGGAACGGCTGGCAATATAGGTTATGGATATGGGTCATGCTTGGAGATTTTAGAAGACTTTATTTTCTTAAGATCTACGGTTTGGGACAATTTTGATGTGGGATATGGAGAAGTGAACTTCAGAAGAGTTGAAGATTCAAAATTTAGAAAACTACAAGTTTTTAATGACCAAAAATGGCGCAGACCTTCCCAATGGAGAAAAGTATTGTCTTACACTAAGGTGTTGCTTTTTTGAGTTGCTTTTGTTCTTTTCACTCAGATAATTTTTGATGAATTGACACTCCCTACAAAGGAATTCATTCCAGTGGAACATCATGCTTATGGAAAAGAAAAAAAGTGTAGTTTTACTTAAAAGTTACAAAAAATATGTGTGTGTGTGTGTGTATGTGTATACCTAACTAATCTGCTTGCTTTTCATTGTACCCGCTAAGCTAGCACTGCTGGATCCCAAGATTCTCCCTTAAGAAACGTTTCTTATCTTAATGCCTGTACTTGTGATGATGCTATCTTTCTGACCAACTGGACTCATTCCTAAAGACCCATTTCAGAGCATCCTCTTGGTGCTCAATGACCTACCCAAGCAGACATTCTGCAGTTACTTCTCTCTGTGCTCCTAGAGGCCTTGGGGCATCCTTTCACAGGTGTCTGAGCTCTGCAAGGCCTTGGCCTTTTAGACTGTGTACTCTCTTCTGGCCAGGAACAACATTGTGACTGTATCCTAATCTAATAATGCTATGCTGCCTGGTTTGTGTTAGCCTCTCAACAAATAATGAATATGGTAAGGGGAAAGATTAACGGGCAGTATCTCTTTAATCTTGGGCATCTGACTTGTTAACATAATGCTGTATCGCCTTTTGTCTTGCAGAGGATCAAATTCCCAGGGGCTTCCCTACCATTGACATGGGCCCACAGTTGAAGGTGGTTGAGCGTACGCGCACTGCCACCATGCTTTGTGCAGCCAGTGGGAATCCGGACCCAGAAATCACTTGGTTTAAAGATTTCTTACCTGTCGACACAAGCAACAACAATGGCCGTATTAAGCAATTACGATCAGGTAGGGTCTTGTTACTGTTTCCACTAACTCCTAAAGATTTTTTTTTTTTTTTTTTTAGCTTTCTCTCTCTCTATTTTCAATTTAATTTTTTTTTATTTTTAATTTTTAGGTATTGCTTTTTCTCCCTCTTCTCTTTCTCTGTTATTTAACGTGTTGTCCATGTTTGTGATGTCATAGCCTGTTTCAGAGTCTGTCTTTCTCCTCTGTGTGTGTTTTGCAGCTTCTGTTTAATCCACATTGCTCACTGCTGTGACTGTATTTTTGATAATTTATTTTTTAATTTACTGCTTTTCCGCAGTATTTAATGGATCCATTTTCTCTTTCTTTCTTCTTTTCTGTTTTGTTTTGAAACAAATTTATTTCAACATTGGACTTCATTCAGAACTTGCAAGGAGTTCCAATGGTTATATCCATTAAAAACCAAAATGTTCATATGAAACACTAAAACGATTCAATTTTATTAAAGTGTGTTTGCTCTGTTGTTTCTGCATTTGAACTCATCAAAATACCAAAGTTTAGTAAGTTTGGTCACATCTACTTTCTTTTCACTAATACATAAAACACAGAAATGTCGTGTCATGGGTAACCAGATGTATATATTTTTTAAAAAGTCTTTAACAAAGTACCAATGAAAGAAGGGGATTTTTACTGATGTTGTTATTATATTATCATGAGTGGACATTTGTACACATTAGCCACAGTAGTGTGCACCTATACTGAAAATTTTTGAGCCCTCCAGTGACTGGATCTACAGAAGTCTGCTTGGTGTAGAATCCAGCTTTGCTGCTTTCTCTCTCTCTCTTTCTCCTCGTTGCCCTTTTCTCCCATCCTTTTCTCAAGTTTATTCCTTTGCTCTCTTTAGATTAAAAATAGAGCTAATTCTAAATTTCTTAACTATTAGAGCCTGTCCCGAGGTAATTGCACAGGGACATTTGCTAATAAACTGTTTACTTTGCCATTGGTAGTAATATTGATATAGAATTCTAAGTTGTTTAACTGCCTGTCTTCCCAGAATTCTCAGCTTTTGACCTGTCCTGTGATGTTAAAGCGTCTTGTTAACTGCCTCTTCTTGCTTGTTGTCAGCAGAATTGTGTAGATTAGCATTCTGTTATTGTAAATAAAGAATTAATTATTCACATGTAACATAGATGATTTAGTATATAAAGCATTAACTCTGAAAAATTTGTACCAAATTATAAGGAGTATAATAATATTTTTATGCTGTCTTTCTTCTCTCCGTATTTAAATCTCCAGAATCTATTGGTAAGTGCTTAGTTCTGAAGCGCACTTCACCCCCACTAATTTCCATATTCAGACTATTATATTATTATTAATAATAATAATAAAATGCATGGCATGCATTTTACTAACTGTCAGTGTAGATACCAGGTCTCCGTAGCGGCGCGCACACTTACACATCCACAGCACTGTTTTCGTAAGAACACCGTGTAGAAAAAAGCACACAAGTTCTATCACACAAATGTAGCCTAGTAAGTAGCATAAGATATCTAGTCAAGTGTTTGTTTCTAGTTAGTCTTTAGAGTTTCCTATGACAGTATATATATATATACTAACTATATATATATATATACTTAAATAGATTAGCCAGTCTTTTCTAAATTGTCTTTAAAAAATATTGTGTAGTCTATTTTATTATTTTTTTTTAAAGAATATGAGGCATATAAGATAAATTCTAACCCTACATGACCCCAGACCTAAGTACCCAGTTGCTTCTCTGAGAACGGCAATGCTGCCTATCGTGGTCTTTGCCCTCTGTGGTATAACGCAACTTGCTTTTATGATCTAATAATACAATCTAATATATTCCTGTTTTACCAGTATAGTAATTCAAGTTTCTTTTAAGACCTTATTTAATTCTGTAAATCTAATTTAATTCTTCTCCCCAGCCCTAGCCTCCTTCTTCTCGTACTAATGCTTCTTCTTTCTAATCTTATTTGCATTCATATTATCCACCCAGGTGGTACACCAATAAGAGGTAAGAGTGCTGAACTAACGTTCACAGAATGATCTTGCTCATTCTTTCTGTCCCCTCATCACTGTCATCTTTGTCCTGTTTTCAGAATCATCCCATTAATGTCCATCAACTTTTATTTTTTTCTTTGTACAATTTGGTTATGATCAGTGACACTCATATTGTGAACTTTTCTTTTCTTATTCTATTTCTCTTTGTTTTGTTCATTTCTTTCTTTATGAAAATGATTATTTCAGTTGTGATATGCTTCAAAGAAAGCATATCCAGGTCTTTAGACCACAGACCAGTCACAGCGTACCATCTGTCCCTTTTTTTTTTCCTTTTCTTCTTCCTTTTTCCTTTTTTGTGTTTTTTTTTTTTTTCTTCTTTTTTTCCTTCTTTTTCTTCTTTTTTTTTTTTTTGTCCAACCGGAGAAAAAAAAAGATCATTTTTTTCTTCCTTAGCTGTTCTTGTTCTGGACCAAAGCCAAGATGGTCTGGAGAACAGTGGCAGACATGCAGAAGACAGCCTGGAACGTCTGCTTTTTGTCTTTATCTTTCAAAAGGTTTTTGCTTTTGTTCTTTGATTCTTTTTTCTCTTAATGTCTTAAAAGTCAAAGAATGACTCCCCTTTCCACCCGATCCCCCTCGCCTGCAACCTGACAGCAATGCTTTTTTCCCCACTTCTTTTTTTCTTGGATTACTCGCCTCGGGATTTTTGGATCTTCTGTCCTTCGGTCAATGGAAACACAAGGTGCTCAGTATTCTTGGTGGTATGTTGTATTGCTGGTTTTTCCTACTTTGACTCGGTGTGCATTTCTTTTATAATTCTTGTTTTATATTTTTCTTGGGGTTTTGTGACACCACACTGCTAATCCCATTGGTGGATTTTGATGGGTGTCTTAGGGGATCCGTCTCAAGGTCCTCGAGCAGTGGTTGGTTGGCTCTTCCTTGTTGGCACAGGCCGTGCTTTTTAACTTTTTTAAAACCTTCTAATTCAACTCCTCTTTGTTTTTCAGCAAACGTAATAAATGATTGTAAGTCGTGGCAAACTGTCTTTCTTTTCTTAAAAAATCTGCATGTCTTAAGGGAGTTTTGTTTCTTTAAGTGATATTTTCCTAATCTATAATGACTAATTTTAATTTTTTGCTTTGTGCAGCCTTTTTGTACTCGCTGCGTATTTTTGGCTTTCTTCAGCGGAAGACTTTCTTGAAAACCCGGCCTGGTTTTTTTGAGCATCCCTATCTTTTGCGCCTCTTTTGGTACCAAAATGAAACAAAACAAAACCAAAAATTAATCTTTTGTTTTATTTAAAAGCCATACTTCCTTGAAGCAGTCTCACCCATCTTCATTTTATTAGTCTAGGAAATAAAAGTGTTAATTATATCTAGGATTCTTGCTTGGGAAAAGAGATATTGTTTTCTTATGCTAGCATTGATGATGTTTAAAAAAAAAAATAATCTCTATATGTTTTTCTCATCGCATCATTTTCTGTCTGTGCACCTTCGCAAGAGATTGAATCGACGTTGAGCGGACCTTCTCTTTGCAGGGCTTTTCATATTGTTAAGAGGTTTAGTTTTCTGAACTGAGAAAGCCTTCTCTGACCGTCTCTTTGGCAATATATTTTATATCCTTACAGGCGCCCTTCAGATCGAACAGAGTGAAGAATCTGACCAAGGGAAATATGAGTGTGTTGCCACCAACAGCGCGGGCACGCGCTATTCTGCCCCTGCCAATTTATATGTCAGAGGTAGGAGGAACGTGACCCCGGCATGGTCGCTTCGCTCGGGCTCAGGGGGGACTGGGACACCCACAGCGCCTGTGCTGTGTCGGCCTCTCACGGGCCGGCTTGCTACGAGTTGCAGTAGCTGAAGCATTTTTAGTGAATAGAGCATTAAAAAGTTTAAATGGGTTGTTAGAAAAAAGTTAACGCCTTTTGAATAAAATCTATCCTGAGGCTTGACATTTGTAAGTATCTTTGCGTTTTTACATCTTGATTTCCGCATTGATTGAAACTGTGCTTTGCATTTGTTTGAGGTTTTCTTCTTTTCCTCTTTTTAAAATTTTTCTTCTGTTGTTGTTTCTCTTCTGTTTCCTTTTAAAACCCGGAAATAATTGCTTGGTGTGCTACTAATCAATTCTCTGTGCAACTCCAAGCATAAAGGTGTTTATGTCCTCAGTACCTCTGCTGTGAATAAAGCTGCTAACTAAAAAAAAAAAAATTGCTACATGCAAATAGCACGATTGTATTTTCTTCCTTCTTTTATACTTCCTTATTTATAAACACATATTATTATGTATGTGCATATTTTTTAATTACTTTCTCCAAAGTTTAATTTTTTGATTGACATGGAACACTGATTATATATTTTAAAATATTAGTTGTCCTTGGTACAAGAATGAATGAGGATGCTTTCCTATTTTCTTATAAGAAATAAAAATGATTAAATTTTGAGCTTATGGTTGGCTGTGCTTTTCATGTCAACTAGAAAGAAGTATTTCTTCCCCGGAGTTTTTCAGAGCTGATTCCTGTAGTTTTTTTGTCTAGCAGAAATGCTCTTATCCCAGGTCTACATGTCTGTGAATAATCACAAAGGGCATGGGTGGGGGTGGGAATAGATAAAAGACTCAGAGGGCTTTAAGTTACAGTAGGGTGGGTTCCCTTAGGGAAATATCTAGCTTGATTTTGAAATTTTTGTTCGAGATCATTTTGTTTCCGTGGGGATGTTTTTCTCTCCTGTGTTTCTCTGGAGTCGGGGGGTGGGAGACTATGAAGAAAACCGTTTCTTCTCCGAATTCTTGAAAGCCCCTTGATCCTTTTTCTCCCGGTGGACACCCCCTGTGCTGCATGAGGGCATGTGTACTTTCTGCAACGGAAAAAATTTCAAAATGACGCTAGCTATTGTTTCTAATACCGTGTTTAGTCCCCGAGGTAGCGCTAACGTTCTCAGCCGAGGCAGGAAGGGTGAACTAGAGCGAATTGAAATGTTCAAGTAGCAGGTGAAAGCCTTGATATGGCCTTTTTACTCTCTCTGTGTTTCCCTTGTTTTTCTCCTTTCCTCATTTCATTGTGTTCTGCATCAAACCCCCTACATCCCTCAGAGCTGCGAGAAGGTTGGTGTGTTTTTTACTTCTTACCCACCTTACAAAACTATTAATTAAACCAATAACAAAGAATACAAATGAAATGAATGTAGCTGCATCGTGGTCTTCTTTTGGTGGATGGTATGTGTTCGCGGAGAATGCCTGGCTGTGGCTGCCGGTGCTTGCTGGTGCTAACAGGTGCATGAGGGCGAGAATGCACCTGGGTGCATGGTAACTGGTAACACTTAACTCTCTCGGGTCCGGTGAACTGGGTCAGTGTTCCTGCTTTCCTTCCTGCTCCCCTCTTCCCACCCCCGCCCCACCTTTAATTTCATCTTCCGAGGATGCCTGCTGCCCACAGAATGACTTTTTGTAGTTGTTCCTCTAATCCCCAAGCATGAAGACTAAACTCTCCTCCATTTCTCTTGATGTGTTCTCTGACACCTCAGAGTCTCCACCGGCTCCTGCTTGCTTTGTGTAACCGGTGAAGTGGCTGCAGGAGGCATGCTTAGTGCTCTCTTTCCTTCTCCTGTGCCTGTTGATCACCCATAAGGCCATCGCAGCGAGCCCTCTCCAATCAACGGAGGTTTATCTCAACCTTAAGTGCAGCCAAAAAGTTTACAGACAGAATTAATTATTCATTATCTTCTTGGGGTTATGAGGTTGTTTATTAATTGACTTACGATTTTAAAAAAAAATCAGTTTCTTATCTGTATTTAAGGAATGCTCCTAATGATTTCCTTTTGATCTAAAATACTCCCAGTGTAAGATTTTGCCAATAAAAGCCCAAGATGAAACCTGTGTCTTTTACCCTCTCCTTGTACCGTGTACTTAAACTTGACATGTAAACATGCAGATTCTTTGAAGCAGGAACACTGAACTGTAATAGCTTGGTAATGTTTCACTGTGTCATGGTGTGATAATATGACTTCTTCTCTTCATGTCACGTTCCACTGTATGTTTTAGATGCAGGGTCCCTCCGTTTGAATGTGGGCTCCGAAAGCCTATCACTACCTTGTGTTGTCATCATCTAAGTTGTTTTACCTTAGATATGAGCTGAATGGAATCCTACATGGGAAGTTCCCAGCTCCCTTTCTAAATTGGCGATCCTCACCTTTGACACCCAAGCTCGATCTAATGTTTTCCTACTTACAACCCTGTCACCCCCTAAATTCCAGCCTCAATCACTCTACCTCACATCTTCCCTTTGTGTTCAGTTCTATTGCCCTGTTATTTCTTCTGCTCTCATTGTTGTCTTGGATTCCAGACATTTTCCCCATTGTCCTAAGCACGGGCCTGGAGACATCATTGTGTGCATGCCTTGCATGACCAAATTTGATATCTTTACTGGCGTTGGCTTGGTTCCTTCTTCTGTGATTATAATCAATAATGTGTGTGTGTGTGTTTATATATATATATATGTGTGTGTGTGTGTGTGTGTGTGTATTTGTATTTATATTTCTGTGTTCCAGTGTTAGTGTGAGGTCTTGAGGCTGCATCTTCTCTGAGTCTGAAAGCAAATAAATTGTACTTTCACTGTACTCTAGATGATGTTTTCCAGGGCTGGGATGTGACTGTGGTCCCACACATGCATTCACAGCAACTGGAAGTGTTCAGCACGGGAGTTGGTTTTGATACCCAACTTAAACCTGCTGGTGACCTTCCAGCCCCCTTTTTCGCATATACGTGCATGCATAGAATCCTTGTTATATGCATATATGTATATGTTTTTGTGTTTATCTTATGCATGATTTGTGTTTTGTTAGTTTGTAGATAGTTTCTTTGTGGGGCCCTTGTAGGTCTGAATCAACTTTTGTACGAATGTGTCTAAGATATCAATGACCAAACTAAATGATTTCTTTGTGTGTATACACAGACCATACTTGTATGGTCTGTATTATCCACAGTGTTTCTTTTTTTTGTTTTTGGACAGCCCACAATATGTTCTGGTTGTTTAATTGTGTCTGTACAGTGCATGTCATGTGTTTAAGAAGCCATTTTTTTCTTGCCTTGTATATTTTATCATCCTCCCTTGTGTTTTGTTCCAGTTCGTCGTGTCCCACCAAGATTCTCTATCCCACCCACTAATCATGAAATCATGCCAGGTGGAAGTGTTAATATCACCTGTGTGGCCGTGGGGTCACCAATGCCTTATGTGAAGTGGATGTTGGGGGCAGAAGATCTGACACCTGAAGATGATATGCCAATAGGAAGAAATGTCCTAGAACTGAATGATGTAAGACAGTCAGCAAATTACACCTGTGTTGCAATGTCAACACTGGGTGTCATTGAAGCAATAGCACAGATCACTGTCAAAGGTATGCTCAGAGGTGTATGCTTCCGGGGTCTGGCTGCACTCAAGTCACCTGACTAATAGCTCTGTAAAGTCTGTCCTAGGAATTCTAAAATGAATCAATTCACTGTTCAGTGTTTTAGATGTCACAGTCTGATTATATCTATGGTATCACATAAGATATACCTGTGTGGGCAGTTTCTCTCTTAAAGTATTGGCATTCTAAGGAGCAGTAATCATCAAAATATTTAACAAGAGGCTGGACCTAGGAACTAACCAGGCAGAATGAGGAATGCTAGACAAGATCAACTATTATGGAAGGATTGAAGCTTACAAATTTCATATTAATTCAGAACTTTGATAAGAGTCACATGATAAAAAAAATCCAAATAAGTTTTACTAAATGTCAAAAACCCTGAAGACACATGGAAAAAAAGCATTACAATTAACATGGTTAAATGATAGATGCTTTAAATTTTTTTAATGGGCCCTAACGTTAAAACCCAAAATGCAAGTGGATTGATATTCTCTCTTAGCTTTATCTTTCACTTTGTATTGATGAAGTGCTCCAGAAATAGTCTGTCCTCGAAATAGTGAACTAAATATAACCAAAGCACTATATTCTACAGATTTTTTTGAATCAAAGGAAAAAGTGAGTGTGTGAGAGTATTGTTTTTACCCAGTGTTTATAGACTTCTGGAACACTTTTACAATAGGGGTCAGACTGAGGAGGACTTGAGGTTTCTGCAAATATCTGAAGCTACTGCAAAATGAACACGGATTGTCTTCTCTTTCTAGGAACTTTGATCCTAAGAAATGCAGAATGCATGCTATAGTCAATGCCGTATCAACCAAGCCTATATATCAAGTATAGGCCTTATAAAATCAATAATGTGATAAGCAAACAAAGGCGCACACCATCGGCAACAATCATTTAAAATAGTAACATTATATTGCATATTTTAACTATATTAAGCATACTTATCCATACATTGCAGACACAAATCCTGTACTGTACAATTAATGTGACTTAGTGAAACCAGTAACGTATGTTAAATACTGGTAAATACAACTTTAATTAGCAGTATTTTTACTAGCTTTAAAAATTCAGAAAGACATCTAGGGAAATTTGGATTCCCTGCTTCCTTAAAAATATCTCAGGCCAGATTATTTAAATAAATATCTTTTTATTATTTTTAGTAAATTCCTTTGGCCAGATATTGTTGTTCTGTAGTTCTTAGAGTGATATGCATATAGTGACTCACCTTGGGCATCCTAACCATTTCAGCTTAAATGTTTGAAGGTTCACTGAAAACCTGGAGTTCAAGAGCAGGAGTCACATTAAACTAATATCATGTTCAGCTTCCTATCTTTATATTCTTGGCTCTTGCTGTTTCTCTACCTTTTTCACCTTAAAAAAAAATAAATAAAATGTAATTACTCAGTGTTGGGCAGTGTACTAGGTATTGGGGACCAGCAGGAACCAAGTATAGGTTTGCTACCCTTGAAAAGCTGTCATTCTAGGGAGTGCTGTGCTATTTGCCTTTATATTGACAAGGAAAAAGGGATAATAAAGGGCTGATTTATGAGTGTTACCTTCTGAGCTTTCTCCAAAAAGTAGATGGTGCTTTCTTCCCTAATAGCTCTACCTTTGAGAATCATTGCCCAGGGTCAGAGTACTTAAGTATGAGGTCACCAATGTAGATGGTTTGTATACACAATTAGTAGCTTTTTTGTTGTTAATCCTTATCCCTAGAGGATATTTTTCCATTGACTTTTAGAGAGTGGAAGGAAAGGAAGGAAGGGGGGGAGATAGAGAAAAATATGATGTGAGAAAGACACATCAATTGGTTGCTTCCTGACCACACATAAACCAGGGCTGGGGATTGAGCGTGCAACCCAAGTATTTGTCCTTGACTGGGAATCAAACCCTCTACCCTTGGTGCATGGGTCAACACTCTAAGCACAGAGCACCACCAGCTCGGGTATTAGTAGCATTTTGAATTGTGTTTTGCTTAAAGGAAAAAAAGATAGATCTCTAAAAGATGAATTAAATTGCAAGAATTTGTATATGACTTTAATCTCAGGTATTGCTGATATTGAATATAGAATACATACTATTAGAGTAATACTTTTTTTTATGGAATTTATCAGGGTAACATTTTTTAATAAAATCATTATAGGTTTCACGTGTATAGTTCTATAATACATTATCTGTGTACTGTATTGTGTGTTTACAATCCAAAGTCAAGTCTCCCTCCATCACCATTTATCCACCTTCACCCTCTCCTACCTCCCTCCACTCCCTTTCCCTTCTCCTCTGATAGTCACCATTCTGTTGTCTGAGTTTTTCTTTTCTTTTTTTTCTTAATTCCTTTACTTTTATCTACAATAATACTTTAAAAAGTGACTTGTGAATATGCTTTAATTTAGTTCCTTCAGCATTTTTGAGTATTAAGTAAAAACATGAATTTGAAATTAATTCAAAATTACTATTCCTTTTTACTTTAATATCGTAGTTATATTTTTATGAGAAAAGTATAGTAATGTTACCCATGTCTTACAACTGGAAGGCAATATGGGTATTATTCTTCCATGGCAATTTAATACCATCTCAATATATTCCAGAATATATTCAATATATTACTTTCAACATTTATTGGTATTTAGTTATATCATTTATATCTTAAAGCAACAGGCTAATTGGCTGAGCTTATAATAATAGTAATAATTGCAAATAATGTTTTTTTGAGAGTGCCAGATAAAGTCTAAGAGCATTACTGGATTAGCTCATTAATCATCAGAGCAAACCCATGAAATAGAGTTACCCAACTGTACAATTCCAATAATACAGCTTTTCTCATTTTTCACATGAGAAAACTGAAGCAGAGAGAGGTTAAGCAACACATTCAGGATCACATAGCTAGTAAGTGGTAGATTTGGATACAAGCCTCAAAACACAACACTATAATGCCTTCCTAATAAAATGGGATTTGCTACCTATGCATGTCTTACTTGACTTTCCTGACCACTTTGAAAGCTGTTCTTTGCTATGATTCCATTGACAGAAATCTTTAGTAGATACATAATTCTGCCATTTCAGTAGTAGAGTTTGTGGATTCTTATAACATCCTAGAGATGGTGGGTAGTGACTGTCTTATTTCCGCCCCCAAAGCCTTACCCAAACCTCCAGGAACTCCTGTGGTGACGGAGAGCACAGCCACAAGCATCACGCTGACCTGGGACTCTGGGAACCCTGAGCCTGTGTCTTACTACATCATTCAGCATAAACCTAAAAATTCTGAGGAAACCTACAAAGAAATTGATGGGGTAGCGACCACACGCTACAGTGTCGCTGGACTCAGTCCCTATTCGGATTACGAATTCAGGGTTGTTGCTGTCAATAACATTGGGCGGGGGCCTCCCAGTGAGCCTGTGCTGACGCAGACCTCGGAGCAGGCACCATCCAGTGCCCCCCGGGATGTGCAAGCGCGGATGTTGAGCTCAACCACCATTTTGGTGCAGTGGAAGGAACCTGAGGAGCCAAACGGACAGATCCAAGGATACAGAGTGTATTATACAATGGATCCCACTCAGCATGTCAACAACTGGATGAAACACAATGTAGCTGATAGCCAGATCACTACTATTGGCAACTTAGTGCCCCAGAAAACATACTCTGTCAAAGTCCTGGCTTTTACCTCAATCGGAGATGGTCCTCTTTCAAGTGACATACAAGTCATCACTCAGACAGGAGGTAAGTCTCATTGTGGACGGGGAGTAGGGCAGGAGGCATGAGTTGAAACTAACAGGTAGGAAGGGCAAAAACAAAGAACAAATATATAAATTTTGGTTTTTGAGACTTAAAGTTTCTATGTGAGGGGCTGACATAAGGCATCTGGAAAGGAAACAGGCATGGACACCCGAAAGACTAAATAATAGCAATAAGTAGAAGGATTTCATATAACATCCCATCCTTTTAATTTGTACCCAGAGGACTTGGAGAATTCTCTGCATGAAATGGAGAAATGTGTCTTCCATGTAGCATTTTGAAAATAAAAGAACTGTTCTTTTTTATAACCTGAGAGAATAGTCTCAAAAATTATTTCATTTGAGATACATTGGATGGTTCAACATAAAGTTAAAAATAAAACCATTTGTCGGGGTCTTGGATATTTAAATGGCTTAAATTTGCCAGGAAGCTACTTGCTGAACAATAAATATTCTCCTAATGGATTTTTCCCCCTGGTTGTGTGGCCTCAGGGGTGAAGGTACGCAGTTACCAAGATCTAAGATCAAACTTTAGGGCCTGCTTCTTCCATTTTACTGGGTGTTAGAGCAGATGCCAAACTATTTTATGAAGAATAAGTTGGCCCTGCCAGTAGTTTTATTTTCACAAGAGTATATCAAGCTTCTCTGGTCTGTCACTGAAAGTGATCAATTTTGACTTGGGTTGGGAAAATAATGTAACAGCTTTCTTCTGAAGTTTATTCTTGAACATCTGAGCTCTTCATTTGACTCCGTAGAGCCTTGGTTCCTCTAAAAGGTGCATTAATCTAGGAATGTTTTGGCAGCATGCCCCTGGTTTAATCATCTGCGTAAGAACCATATTATTGGAGTTAGTATCTATAATCTAGAGGTAGGTAACTCATTGGTAATTTGGGAGTGAATTAGTGAATTTTCTCAGGGATCAGAACCAGCTTGATCACTGACTTGTTTTCATATCATGGGCTTTATGAATCACATAACTGTTTACCATTTGCACTGGCTACTAGAAATCTCAGAACTATGTATAGTCTGCCTGGCTTTATTGTATTTCATACCATTATTTGGTTCTTACTGGTTTGTTCACAAATTTATTATTTTCTCGAATGGTATGAAAAATAACTATAAAAATAGCTTTTACCACAATTACATTAAAAACCATCCATATATTTTCCCTCTTGGCTTTTGCAGTTCTTTTAGTTTTATATTAATATGCAGAAAAATACTGTGGATATTTTCATATGCTTTAATTCATATATTTCTTACTGGAAAATATAAAAATCTAGAAATCTTGTTCTTTTTCCTTATTGAAAGTGGTCAGTCAACTGTTATAAGACTATTTTTTGTTAAACTATTATACTATTTAGCAGCTCTTTGACCATCAAAAGATATAACTTTATGAGAAGACTATATCCCTATCCTTTACTTTTAGTTTTTCTGTTTTTTCAGCTGTGTTATTTAAAAAATTTCTGGTCTTAGAGCAACATAATCAGGGTTTGACTCCCAGTCCACGATTTTTAGCTCTGTAACCTTGGACACGTTATTTCGTCTCTCTGAAACTTCATTTTCTCATCTAAAATAATAACCACCTCATAGAGATTAGGGATGTTATTCATTTTCTAGGGCTGCTGTAACAAAATACCACATACTGGGTGGCTTAAACAACAGGAAGTTATTGCCTCTCAGTTGAGTGGCTAAAAGTCCAACATCAGTGTCAGCAGAATTGTTCTCTCAGAGAGCTGGGAGGGAGGTTTGGGCACTTTCTCCTAGGTGCTGGTGGTTTGCTGGCAATCTTGGCCGCTCCTTGGCTTGTAGAAGCGTCATCCAGATCAATGCCTCATTCTCACATCATTCCTTCTGTGTGCATGTCTCTGTCCAAAGTTTCCCTTTTTATGAGGATACCGGTCATAATGGATCAGGACCAAACTAATGATTTGATTTTAACTCTACCACAATCCTGTTTCCAAATAGAGTAATAGTCTGAGGTTCTGGGAGTTAGGAGTTCAATGTGAATTTTTGCAAGACGCATTCAAACCCATAACAGAGCTACAGATTAGACAATGGATAGAAACATTTAATAACTTAATAAGTAATATATAATTATCACCACCATCATCATAACAACTAAACTATACTGGGCACTCTGCTATGAACTTTGCATGTGTTAATTATTACTACCTAATTAGGTAGATGTAGAATTATCCCACTTGCCGATGAGTAAATTGGGGATCAAAGAAGATAAAAAGGTTGAATCATTTGCTTTGGGTCATAAGATTTAGTAAATGGCAAAGCAGAATTTAAATCTAGGCACCCTAGATACTTCTAAGCACAATTACCTGTCCAATTAATAATTTGCTGATGTGATCGTTTTAGTGCCTGCTAGGTTTTTGTGCCCACGAGGTGTTCAATAAATGAATAGTGGCAGGAAATACAGTGTGTCATTTATTCATATCTTTATATAAGGATTATATATAATTTACTTCTTCAATACTTGATGTGGCTATTAGATTATCCCAGTATAAAAGTGTGTCGAACCATTTAATATATATATATATATATATAAAGTTGATCTGAAAGAAGTAGGAGGAATACTTTTTTATAAAAGTTTGTTGTACTTGATCACTTAATTTGGTTCTAACTTTTCTAACCACAAATTTAAACCTAGAAACCTATACTGTTTCATAACTTTCTTTTCTTATGACAGGAGGGTTTAGCCATCTGAGAAACCAAATAGTTACTGGAAATAAATTCAACCGAAACATAAGAATCCTTGGGACTCATGAGAATGGTTATATTCAGAACATGGAATAACAGACAATAATGCCTTTGGTCACAGTTTATCGAAAGATACTGAACTGCTGTTTAAATAGACCTTTTTTTCATTTTCTATATTATGAGTAGACCTAATGTAACATAAATCATAACTCAGTGAAGGTAGTAATATGACAGGGGCAATTGAGTTAATGTGATCCAGGGACTATGAACTTAGAAAAATCTAGATGAATGGGTCACACATGTATTAGAATAGTTGTTCTCAATCTCTTTTAGCCATTTTATACATTAAGATATTTCCAAGAACCTTTCATAATAGTTGTACTTTTAATACCCATTGATTGAGAAGATATATGATGACATAATGACTTGTGCCTGCCAGGATCAATAGGCTAAGAAAACCTTCCAAAATAGCACAATGATTTGATCTGTTCTCTAGGCTTAATTAACAAAGGCCATTTGATGTTAGTGGATAACTGCCAAATACAGTGATGTTAGATCTTGATATAATTAATGCTGAGCTGCTCCTTTTTCTTGTTGCTGACTAGCTAATTCTTAGGGTCATTGCTAGGCAAAAATATAAACCATTATGAAATATTTTTGAAAGGTTCTATAACATTGAAAGACATGATTATTTTCACAGCAATTTAATTTTTTCTTTATGAAAATTTACTGATTGACACTATATGAAATTCTCAAGTGTATTTCAATTCCATGTGCACAGAGATATACATTTTTATGTATTCTATATCTGAAATGTTTTAATTTCATTTTGGTATCTTTAATTCCCTGGCACTAATATTCCCATTTTTGTTTAAACTCAGACTCTTAAGAAATAGTATTTAATAACAAAGTGAGTGTAAGAGGGAAATTATCACTTTTGCTCATATCTAAGTTTACCCATATTCATATAGAGGATTGAAATAAGTTGCATATTCCTGGTAATATAGAAAATTAAAATATCTATTTTATAGTCAGTATTTCCCCTTAATTACAAATATTAGTATGGTAGAAAATAGTAAGTAAACTTTAAATGCGGAAAGATTTTGGTTAAAATAATTATTTTCTAGACATATGAGTTGGTCTTCCAAAGTTTCCATACCTTTTAACTTCTAGCATTATAGTAATTTGCAACTAGTTCACCTTGAAAATGTGTGGAATACATGACCATCTACAAAGGAAGTATTTTTATTGTTCTAGAAAATGATCTTCACTATTAGATAACACATTTGAGAAGGATGTCTTATGTAGTTTTCTTTTATAGATAATTATTAAATTATAGGGTAAATATATATGTTATAAAGCTGCAAATAAGACTCTGGTAAAGAAATGTGATACATTACATCTTAAGCTTAATGCACTAAAATAAATGTCATTTGATGTTCATGCTAATTGGACATCAAATCCTTATGCCTTTTTTCTGAACTTTCTTTAGGAAACATGTTTGACCTCTACTTCTTCTATACACCTAATAGGTTCTTGGCGAAAGTCTACTGATTTATGTATATGTATCTTAATAATTTAGGTCTTTGGAAAGAGAATAATTATATGCATTTACTAACTAAATACAAATGAGCATTATCAACTTGAAAACATTTCGAAGAAGGTAATTCTATAACTTCTGGGTACTGCAAACTTGTTATATTATAAAACTATGACATTTAGAGATACAGCATTTGAACTTTCCAGAACTTTAAAAAAATCATTTTATTAGTGTATGTCAATAGGCCACCTGTATCAGCAAACTCAAAAAAAGACTGACTTCTAATAGCCAAAATTATGAGCCCAATTTAAATGCTTTCTCTAAATAGTGTTAGCAATAAGTAAAGGAGCTCTGGATAAATACAACTGCAATAAAGCTTAACTTTTTCTTACTGATACTTAATGACTATTGAGAGGAAGATTTGTGCAGGTGCTTGTGCATCAAGTACTTGTTTTGTCAATGATATATCTGCGGCACTTACAAATCAGACTCCTTGTTTTGAATTTTGTTTTACTACCACTATGATTCTGGCTGTGGCTTTTATTGCCCCCCCCCCTTTAAATCGCTTATCAATATGTTAGATACACACATTTTGAAATATGTACCTTATTAAAGTACTAGATATTTTAGCAATACTGGGCTTTCTCGTCTCTTTGGTGATATTTCATGTTTATAGATGGCTAGATGAAATGTTTGTTTAGCCATTTCATATATGCTAACCTTTTTCTCTTTAGAAATATGCCCTACATTATTCTCAAGTATTGATCTCTTTCAACATTAACAGCATTTTAGATGATATACAGATTTTTTGTCATTTCTTGTGTAGTCTCTATTCTCTGTCTTTGAGTTGCCTTCAGACAATTATTTAGAGTATAATAGTACTACTGCTCAAACACTTTATTTTTAATCTTAATTTTGGGAGTTGATAGCTCTTTTTTTTTTTCTTTTTTAATCCTCACCCGAGGACATTTTTCCCATTTTTTTGTTCAGGTAGAGTGGGAGGGAGAGAGAGGAACATCGACGTGAAGGGACACATCGAGTGGCTGCCACCCGCACGACCGACCAGGGCCGGGGACAAACTGCAACCGAGGTACGTGCCCTTAGCGGGAACCGAACCCGGGTCTCTCAGGACCGCAGGTCGACGCTCTAACTGCTGAGCCAAACCGGCCAGGGCTGATAGCTCATTTTTTATATTTCCTTTTGGACATTAAATAAGTAAATCAAGAAGAATATAACACCAACACCACTGTACAGAATATACGGATTTCTTATATATAATTTTAAAGAAAAATTTCTAGTTTCATTTTTTTCTTTTTACACCTAAATTCTAATTTGGTTTATGGTCAATATCATCACATTTCCTTTTTTTTATGTGGAATAATTGCACATAAGTTTCTGGATGTTTGTTTTTCACTCTGAACTTCATTTTCCCATAAAATTTATGTTCAGGGAATTGGTAAGGGAAATGCTACAACAGAGAAAAGTTCTTAAGTAAAATAAAATAGACATTGACAAACAAGAAGTGAATGCTAGTAAGTCTGAGGTATAAAGACTGAGAACATTAAAAATGTTACAAAAATGTGTGTTTGTGTAGGGGGGCATAAAGCACAAATATTAACTTTTCTTATTAAGAACCTCTGTAGCCACAATATTTGATATAAAATTTCATTTGACAGATGATAAAGCATTCACTATTTCTCTAAGAGAGAAAATAGAGATGACAGTTTGGAGTCCCCAAGTGTTTTTCATATACATAGATTATCATCATTAGGACAGATGTGTTTGGGGAATATAACAAAATAAATCCAGCCCTGGCCGGTTTTTCTCAGTGGTTAGACCAAAGAGCCGCAGGTTCAATTCCAGTCAAGGGCACGTACCTCGGTTGCAGTTCGTCCCGGGCCCTGGTTAGGGTCGTGTAGGAGGCAGCCAGTTGATATGTCTCTCTCAAGTCAGTGTTTCTCTCTCTGTCCCTCCCTGTCTTTCTCTCTCCCTCCCACTCTGTCTGAAGATAAAAGGAAAAAAATATCCTCTAGTGAGGATTTGAACAAAAAGAATGAAATGATAATAATAAATCAATTAATTTCACAGCTTTTTTCCTTTTCCTTTGAAGCCTCAGGTTCATTGTGGTTGTTTCCACTGTGACTAAAGAAGCCCAGGGAAGCAGTAGCTGTAGGTGAACCCTCAATTCCCAGGCAGGTCTGAGTAGTGGCCCCTTAAGGCATTCATAAGCATAGATAGACCCTGATAGAATAAAAATATCTTTTAAAGCCCTTGTCCATATGCTGGGTTTCATTTAGCCCCATACAGTATTTTTTAGTAAATATCAGTTAATTTCCAGTTCTTAAAGATTGCTTTTACCTGGGAGGTTCGTTATCAACTGCTGTTGAGAAATCAGAAGCTTAGGTGGGCCCAGCGCTCTCCAGTGGAGCCCACCCGGCCTCTGCTGTCACTCTAAGTACTCTGTCTGACAGCTGGAGGCATATGTGTCTGCCACAAGCTTCACATCTATATTACATGACCCCCCAAACCAGTTCAAAAGGAGGAGATGGTGAAAACAGACGAAGAGATCCCATTACATATCAGTGTAAGAGAGTTCCTGTTAAATCCTCTGGCCATTGCTTGCATTGTTCACGAATAAAGTAGACAGTACACCCTCTGAGACTGGATGTGCCTGTTTCATTATTTAGGAGTGGGCCCCTAAGAGAACCAAACAGAGTTAGAGAATCAGATGAAGTTTGTGTCACGAAACAAGGATGAAGCATTGAGACCTACTGGGAATTTGTTCAAGACAAATGAAAAGTAAGGGAGTAAACAGTTTAAGTAAGAAGAACTTAATTAGATTTCCAAGATGTTCTCAATCAATGTCACTTCATTTATTATTAGAATTAGGCAGGGAGGAAATATGTAACAAGCAGTTATTATCCCGAGAGCAGCTCTTCAGTACTGTCTATGTTTTAGATTCTTGACAATACTGCATCTTTTTTTTTTAAATCATAGACTATTTTTTTCCTAGACCTGTGGAAGTTGGGGGAAGAAAAAAAAAAAAACTAGAGAAAAAGAAGGATTGTACCACATAGGTGGTGTGTGTGTGTGTGTGTGTGTGTATGCCTGTGTAGTTTTAAGCTGAGAAACCCTCTCATTATCTGAAAGTTAGAATCCAATCCAAATGTCCCCATCTGTGTGATAATTCTTGGCTTCCATTGTTACTGCTGCCAGTGCTTTTGGTATTTCTTTTAGAAGTAATGCATTTGCTGTTTGCCTATTTGTTTTTTATTTCCCTCTGTTTCTCCTTCTCTTGATCTTTTATCTTCTTTTGTCTCCACCTCTCAGTCTGAATGATTGTGTTAGGTCACCCACTGGGCAGGTACTTAAAAAAAAAAAAAAAAAAGAAATAATGCTGTTACCCTGTTGAGAAAGTACATTCCCGGAGGCATCAAATTAATGAGTATCTCAAGGCCTGTGATACAAAAAGGGAGAAAAGCTGATGAATGCAATTAGAAATATGAAGCACTGATTTTTGGTGGCCTTAAGCATCAGTCCAAACATGAGCATGTGCGTAAACACACACTCATATGCACACGCACACAGACTCACAGGTTAACAGAGCAGACAGTGGAATAAAATGTTAATTAAGGATCCTAGAAACTATTCTGCTAGATCCCTCTTGACTTTAATCTCTTTTTAAACAAAAGGCAATGTTTAAATCATACTAAAGAGAGAGGATTACAAAAGGGAAAAAAAGAGTAATACATTTTGTTTTTCCAAAGACCTTCTTTCTTATAAAAATGATAGTTTGAGTATTACTTAAGAAATTGATTGAATCAGCTACAAATTACATAATTGTAAAAGTTTTTGAATGTTTATGCTTTTTTTTGCCAAAAATGCAGTATATGTTCTTTCCCCCTCTGGAGTGAAGTACATATCATTGTTTTTTTTTTTTTTATTAAGTATACATTGAATTTTCTTGTAAATTTGTAGAAATATGGCCATCTGTTCAGCTTTTGCACTTTGAAACATGCCACAGTATCAGGGGTCATGATCACCATTTTTAATGGCCATCAAAGCATGGGTACCAACCAATCGGAGCAGACACTGGCCAAGAACAATGTAAGGTTATGTGTGCTAGTGATGCCCTGAAGTACTAGCCTTGTGTATAACAGATGGAGGACCTGATAGAAATCAGGTGATAACTTGGACATTGGGGTTAGTAAACTTATTTTAATATTTTATTATATTTTATTTATTTTTAAAGAGAGTAAGGGAGAGGGAGGGAGAGAGAGATAAAGACATTGATGAGAGAGAACATCGATTGGTTGCCTCCTGCATGCCCCCCACTGGAGGTTTGACCCACAATCTGGGCGTGTACCCTGACCGGGAATCGAACCGGCGACCTGTTGGTGCAAGGGTTGACACTCAACCACTGAGCCACACTGGCTAGGCAAGTAAACTTATTTTAGTGTAACATTTGAGTAAGATATTTTCAACTGGATGGATGTTTCATTTATTATTACATCTGATATAAAGCTCTTTTAAATTTCATAGGTTACATGACAAATATGAGAACTATAGAAGACCTCTATTAAATTACTATATTTCTGATACCAAGTGTATTCTATAAACTTTCATTTGTGTAAGTAATTTAGCTCCCTTTCACTAGGAACAATATTAAGTTTATATTAGGTTTAGTGTTTAAGTCATTTGAAGTCACTTAGGTATTAGAAGCAATTATTTGTCAGAGGTAGTTTTTTATCTGTCTTTCACTTTTTTTGGGGGGGGGTACATTCACCTAGCAGGAACTGAACCCAGGACTCTCTGGTCCACAGGCCAATGCTCCAACCGCTGAGCTAAACGGGCCAGGGATGTCTCTCACTTTTTAACCTCTTTCTTAACACTTAAGTTGGTAAGGAAAAAAAGTGTTGAGTGATTCTGGTTGCCTGTAGGTTTGTTAATGTAGTGAAGGTGGGACTTTATATATCTAATTGGAAATAGCTCTGCAAGTTAAATGCAGTGCTAGGGCATGCATTTTCACTTAGTTGCAAAAGAGCAGTAACTTTTATGTGTTCAGCACTTATGATTTAAGCAATCTTTATTTCAAGTGCATTATGTAAATCATCTCACTGATAATGTGCAACAATATTATGAAGTAAATAATTGTATTATTTGTAAAATTGAGAGACCGATATATTCTATGTTTGGTAGTTCTACATCTTATATAGATATTATCTCACTCAAGAACAAGGACAGTATTCATAATATTTTTCTTGAAAGAGGAAAGTGGGCTTTATATACACAAGTTTACCTGGACATTGTAAGGGGCCTAGCGCTCCATTAAGTTGTTATATATGAACACGTTTTAAAGGCTTAAGCAGATGCACTAATGAAAGAAGAAGGAATATTTATGGTGATGGTAAGCTCATTCCTTTGCCTCCTTGTTTTTAGTACCAGGGCAGCCACTAAACTTCAAAGCAGAACCTGAGTCTGAAACGAGTATTTTGCTTTCTTGGACACCCCCACGTTCGGACACCATCGCCAACTATGAGCTGGTCTACAAAGATGGGGAGCCTGGAGAGGAGGTAGGGCCGTGCTTCTCGCCTTTGGAATCAGTCACTACACTCAGGTGCTGCTGTACTTTGGGGAGATATGTATAGAGGGCTTTGGTAGAAAATTGGTATTTATTAAAAGAGACACTTGACCAAAAAACCAGAAAAGGTATTTGGAAACTTGCTGGGGGGAGGGGTGAAACCAAACAAAACAGTTGTTTCCATGTTGGAACTGTTTTCTTTTCAAGTTTCCAAGTTACTAATGGAAATATCAGGTTATAAAATAGTATACCCCGTGAGACTTGGTGACTTACATTTTTCTCTTCTGCATTAAAGTACTTGGCTCACTATAGACATAAAACTAAATAAGCTCCATGGCTTTGAGTAGATGAATTTGTTCAAACTGGTTTGAGAGAAAGTTGCCCCAAAGCAAATGTTATTTGTATGCCAGAAAGTATGATATGAATGTGAGCATATATAAAGTTTGAAAATATGCAAATAAAGTAACAGTAGATTGCAGAGGCTGGGAATTGTTGATAGTCACTGATAAGAAAAAAACCCAACAGAATAATATACATACATTAATAGGCAGTGTGCTAAGGGTCTCACATATATTAACTCATCCTTACAGTAGTGCTATGGATCAGCCTCTGTATTTGTCTGTTTCACATATCACAAAATGGAGGTACAGGAAAAAGTTAAATAATCATCCCAAGTCTCATGCTACTGAGTGGCAGAACTAGAATTTGAATCTAGGCAGTCAGTCTCCAGAATCTTTCTTTTTTTAAAAAACTTACAGCAACCAGAGGACTGGTTAATTTAATTTAATTTATTTTTATTTTTTCAATCCTCACCCGAGGACTTTTTTTTTCCAATTGATCTTGAGAGAGAGAGAGAGAGAGGGATCGACATGAGAGAGACACATCGAGCAAACGAGATACGTGTCCTTGACCAGAATCAAACCCGTGACTCATTAGTCCATGGACTGACACTACCGCTGAGCCAAACTGACCAGGACCAGAATCTGTTTTCTTAACCATAGAGTACACTGTCTCTCGGGTATACCTTGAATAGATTATAGAAAGTTATTAAGATACACCTGACATTTTCAGAAAGGGAATATATTATAGTAATGGATATGTGTCTTTTGTTGTTATAAATTCCAGCAGGGAACATTTGGACAAAATGTTAATAAAACTGTACATGAAAGTTCAATCCACACGAGCCATTTATTTTACCTCTTAGCATTTTCTGTCTCAAAAAGATCTTTACAATGCTAAACGGCCCCTGTGATCTAACAAGGAATACCTTTTCTAAACTCTCACCTACTAAATTAACTATTATTAATTAACTTGTTGGCCATCATTTTGTATGCTACCATAAATTAATTTTTACTTCAAATTTCTATTTTATTACATCTGTTGGAATTGAGAGAGAATCTCCAAAGACCAAGTTCTCAATGCAATCCTTTAGATTTAGCTAACAAAGTCAATATAAGTGATATAATTTGAATGCAGATATAACTTAAAACACTCATATTACAACTACTTGTATTTCTAATAAGATATAAATCAGCATTATATTATTTGAAATCTCTACCACTACCCAACATAGAAACCAATATAGTAAAAACAGCAAAGAGAGTAGCTGGTTTTTGAGAATGCTAATGTTGGCACACCTACTCTACTTTACAATAGCTTATTTAGGGAATACTTTTTTTTTCTTGTTTGGTATATCTTAAAATTTTAAAAGCTTTTGTATTTGCAAGCTAGAACACCCAAGGGATTTTTTCTCTTATTTTATATTTGTATTTCTTTTGACTGATTTCTGTTTGTGTGATTAGCAAACAATATGTAATAAAAAGCCTAGGATTATTTATGCTATATCGGATTACACATTAGCATGTATGTTAAGGTGTACTACAAGCTAATGTTCCATCGGAGATTGACTGCCCACATAGACAGCTATATTTTTGTTAAAACGCAAAGGCAGATTTCAAGCATGAAAAGTAATGATGACATTTGATTAAAGAAACCTTATTTCAAAAGTCCTTTATGATGTTACATGTTATAGAAAAGTTTATGATTATTGTTTCTAGCTGAAGTCTCTATATTCCCAAAGAAAGCAAGTTTTAAAATTATTTCAAGCCAACCTAGATTTCATATACATTGTTCAGGTTTCTTTAGTAAGTAACATCTGATTTTTATCCCATCAGACCTTGGCAATTTGAGTTCTCTTTTATACAATCTCAAACTGTATGCCAGTTTCTGTTGTTCCTTTTGGCCATATTTTCTTTGCCCCTGTTTAGATTGCAGAAAGTCATGGCACGTGAGCCAGTCATCTGTTCAGCTGAAATTGCACATATTGAGTATACTCCACTATCAGTTTCTATTATGGACTATGTCACAGTGACCCATGTGCCTTAAGAGTAGAACACATCCACGGGTGATGGCCTCTCAATCTCCCTTTTATCCGATGCTTTTGGATAGCTGTGTGATCATTCCAAAGTTCCCTTGGCTACCCTCATTCCAGGTGCCTTATTAGTTGTAGAAACTTGCCTTTTGAATGCTGATATTTTCATTATGTAGTTCCCCTAGTAGAGTACTTGATACGCTGTTGGTCCTGCATGTGATATTTTGATGACAGGCATTGATTGTGATACAAAGTAAAAATGTTTGCCCGAATCTCAATGAAGATGACCAAATTTTTTTGTTACGTATCCACAGCAACGAATAACCATTGAGCCAGGGACATCTTACAGACTGCAAGGGCTGAAACCAAACAGCTTGTACTACTTTCGTCTGGCTGCACGTTCTCCTCAAGGCTTGGGTGCTTCCACCACTGAAATATCAGCTAGGACCATGCAGTCAAGTAGGTGTCTCTCTTTGCTTCCTTTCTGCCCTTTTTTTCACTAGGAAGTGTTGCCGGATTCTATCCCTACCAACAAACAAAGCTGCTAATTAATATGCTTCATAGTCAGTAGTCTCTGTGCTAGCAAGTGTCCAACTTTGGGGATTAGAGTACAACCATGACCTGTGTTGTTTTCAAATTTGGTACAAATAGCAGATCCCTTTCTCCCACTTTCTAAATTTGAAAGGCCTTCAGAGGAACTGAGAGATGAGAAAAATGGGTGACAGGAGTTAAATCAAGCCCCATTTCATGAATTGCAAGGGTGTAAAGCAAAAATCAGGTTGAGAACACTGCATAATAATCAGAAGAAGGCTTAGCAGACTAAAGAGGCAGCAAAAGACCAAACTGTCATCTTTTTTTAAAGTGTACAGGTTTTTACTTTGCTAACGTGTAACTCTTTATTTCAAGTATCTCTTCCTACTCAGAGAAGAGCTCAGCTCTTGTGACTAGTTTGTTATTAACTCTGCAAGTAGCACATGCGAAATTTTGGAACATTCACAGCAAATCCGTATTTGGACAAATTTAGGAACAATGGCATAATCACAAGCGCATTTGCAATCCTAAATTCTATTTTGTTTCCCCAGGTTCAATTTCTTTTGGAACTGTTACTATAAAAATAGTTGTGTTTATCACGATGGGGGTTCATTGTGTCCAGGGAAGATTGTTAAGATTGCTTTTTGTACAGTCTAATATGGGAGATTGCTTTTGATGGAAAGTTGGATGGCTTATAATACTATTTTCTCTTTATTAGTAAGTTTATATAATTACTCTATTAAACCATTTACTTTGAGTTGAATAGTTCTAAGGAGTTATTTCCTTAGATTTTAAAATATTTTACAAGTGATTTTGATATATTGACATGCAATAGATAAGAATAATATACACATGCATTAAATTTTGTAAAGAGGATGCTATATTGACCTAATACTTAGACCTACCAAAAAACATAGTTTATATATTTTAAAAGATGAATTTTCTTTCATATAAACAAGTCTTTCATATTTCATTCTTCTGTAGAAATTTGACATTTTTTTCAGGGTTCTTTTGATAATACAAATCATATTCTTCCCTTTTCTCAAAACATGATCATTGTATGAAAAGTATTAGGAGCCTTGCTTAATCCATTAGTGATTATAGCTTATTCCCATAAAATTTTCTTTCTCTTTGAACCTGAATCATGTAAATGCAGTTTTGTACATCTGCTTTGAATTCTAGCCAGGCTGATAAGTAATATTGTAGAAGATAATTCTTAAAATCAGATATTTAATTAAAAGGAATGTGACATGCTTTAATACTGTATTTTGCATGGTTTACAAACAGCTTTTTTGCATACTTACATACATATGTACTTACATAGAGACAGAATGGACTTTTTATAACCACACCAAAATCTTATTTTTCTTTATTTACTAAAATAAAAATTTCAAATGGAGTTGAATATACTCAAAGAATAGGTCTGAAGGTAGCAAAGTTATAAAAACCAAATCAGCTTTTTAAAAACAATTACAAATGAATCCTTGCTGTTATATGAATAACTAAATTGATTATGAATAATCATGATGCATTTAAAATAGTTTTATAATTTGAAATGTAAGTTTTTATAGTCAGAATCAATAAAAAAGATATTCTAGTGATTTTACAAATCTTATTTCAAATTTATGAGGCTTTAATGAGAATTTTCTTTTTGTCAGCACAGGGAGCTTTTCTTGATTGAGTGTAATGAAAAACACAAGACATGTAAAGACTGATAATTCTCCAAACGATTTAATAAACCTGACACTACATAAGATTAAGAACCACAGTGTCAGACTGCATGTTCAAATACAAAAAAGATAAATAAATTACTTATTGTACTATAGACACTGCCTTAAAATATATATGTATGTATTTATGTATGTCTTATCCCATTTGTTTGTTTTTTAGGAACATATCTTGTTAACTTTAAATATAATTTATGATAACACTTGCATTGGTCTTTACTGCTTTTTAATTTTTTCAAGTAGTGATGTGCTTGATTAATTTAGTGAAAAATAATTGCTCAGAAGGTGACCGGTTTATTTTAGAATGGGCAATAAGAAAGTTTCTGTTAACTTTTTTTCAACCCTACTTTATATGAATAATTGTGTAGAGCATGAAAGGAATTATGTACAAAAATCAAAAATAAGTCATACCTTTTCTAGATGTCTCTCAGGTTTTTCTTTAAAACAGTTCTTTTTAATGGCTATGTTATTGACATTTTGTAAGGGATAGATGATTATTATTGATTTTACCAAAATTTGCTGGTGGAATCTAATTTTTCACTAGCAATGGTGTCTCAAGAAGAGTTATAATTTTTTAAAAAGCTGAAAGCTGATATAGGGTAAGTACAAGTTACAGTCAGAATCAACAAGCCTGACATTGCTCTCGGGTAGGTAAATCTTGGACTATGCCTCTTCATCCTTTATTGATTCTGCATGCTCGCTGTCTATGGGCTATGATCAATGTTAGGTTAAAGCTTTTCATTGAAACTGGTCAGGCATAATCAGTTTCTCAGATAGTCAAAGGGGAACGCTTTTATGTTTTGGGGGCTTTTATTTCTTTCCTTTAAAAAAAATTGGAATTGGTGGAAGGGTATCAGTAGTTATTGCAGTCTTTCACACTTAAGAATGCTTTCACAAATGGATACTGTATATGGATCACCCTCGTTCTAGAATGTAGAAATGAAAGCTTGAAAGAGCATTTGTGAAGCATCACCAAGATGCTCATTAATACATCTTTTAGTATTTGCAGTTTTACTGAACATAGGGCTGTACAGTAGGGCTGGGGAATACTGAGGGATTGGTTTAGAAGAAGAATTTAATTTGCAGGTAGGTAATCTTATTGGAGGCTCTATTATCTCAAGGTTTCATGTTCATATATTCCCCCCATCCATTATTTAACATTTATGTTCGGTCATTTATTCATTTATTTTTTGGTTTATTCATAATGACTAAGCCAAGGTACATGATTTATTTTTTAAAAATTTATTTTAAGTTTCAAAGCCTTAGTTTTGTTTCATTGCCCTTAATGTTCGTTTATTTATTTTTGCCTTTTCTTTTGTTTTATCATTTTTTTTTTTCCAACCACTCCTGTCCTTTCACTCAAACCTTCCTTTAACTCACTACCAAAATAAGAGCCGTCAGCTCCTCCTCAAGACATTAGTTGTACCAGCCCAAGTTCCACTAGTATTTTGGTAAGTTGGCAACCTCCACCAGTGGAAAAACAGAATGGCATTATTACTGAATACTCCATCAAGTACACCGCAGTGGATGGAGAAGATGACAAACCCCACGAGATTTTGGGAATTCCTTCGGACACTTCCAAATACCTTTTGGAACAGCTGGAAAAATGGACTGAGTACCGGATCACTGTGACAGCCCACACAGATGTCGGCCCCGGCCCCGAGAGCTTGTCCGTGTTGATTCGAACCGATGAAGATGGTATGTTGCCTCTGCTACGTCCGTTTGCTCCCTCTGACACAGTCTTGGTCTGCTGTCTTTTGATAGGCTAACAGTAATCCGTTTTTCTCTGCTCATCTTTTTATCCAACATCGCTCTAACGTCAATTTTTTGCCAAAGACCTACCTTTGCTACAGCCTGGCATTTTTTTGTTGTTGTTGTTTCCTTTCAATCTCAACACAGTAATTTGCTTCCCTTTAAAAGAACAGTTTGCTCCTATGACCTTGCAATCCAGGCTCTTCCTCTGTGCCTTCATCTAAAATCTTCTGCATTTTTCTTGGCTCTTTGCAGTCACTTCTTTTACATTTTGAAGTTAACTTTTAAAAAACAGCCTTCTTATCTTCTTGTTTCCTTTTTTGTCTTGCATATTTCAGAAGCACTGATGCTCGACATTTAAGTTTTGGCATTTGTTGTATGGAATACCTTTGATATGAGAAAAAAAGAAGAAAATTCATATAATCAAGAATCTTTTTATTTTTTTCTGCTAAAAAGAAACCTTTAAAAAACACACAGCAATCAACAACCAGTTTTTGTTATTATTTCAATGCTATATCTCTTTGTGCTTTAATGCTTTGAACCTCAAAGCATCTTCCTTGGCTTTTGTACATTTTTTACATGTTTTTCTATTTCTCTGATACTCTTTTTTTCTTCCATACTTTTTTTTGGCATCGGTCATGTTTTTTGATCTTTTCTTAAAAGGTAGAGCAGATTGGTTGAGCATTTTCATTGGTTGAAAATGTTTGTATTCCAAAAGGAAAAATAGTGGGTCTGCCCATTTTTTTAAAAAAGAAAAAAAAAAAAAAAGAAAATGCTCTGACTGGGTGGGACAAGTGCCTATAATTTTCTTTTATCCGATGATGTTGTTCCAGTTCCTAGTGGTCCTCCTCGCAAAGTCGAGGTAGAGGCTGTCAACTCAACATCTGTTAAAGTCACATGGCGCTCACCTGTGCCCAATAAGCAGCATGGCCAGATAAGAGGATACCAGGTGCATTATGTGAAGATGGAAAACGGTGAGCCCAAGGGCCAGCCCATGCTGAAGGATGTCATGCTGGCCGACGCACAGGTAAGCCTCTGATTACGTACCTATGTTTCTAGGTGATGCTGTTTTTTAGTTTGTCTCTTGAAATGGGCCCCATTTATTTTTTTTTTTATATATATTTTAAAAGCCCTGCACAAAATTTTTGTTTCTAAAGCACATGGTATGCATATACCTTCTCAATCAGAGGTGCCATCAAGGGAGGAAATAAATGGTAGTGAAAATAACATGCTAACTGTTTTCTTCAAATACAGATATTCAGCTCTCTAAAGCTATATCTGAGTTTGCCTTTCTGACTTCCAAAAAATTGATTTAATCAAATCAAGGGGAAGAATTCTCAGAAGCAATTTTGCTGATAGCATCTACTTTCTGCCATATTAAAACTACATAAAATTAAATTGACCTAATTTAAAACATAAGACTTCTCCTGTTGAAGAAAAGATACTCTT